CGACAAGAATATGCAATGTGCTTGCATGTCCTTAAACCCATTCTTCTACTTTTGCATGACATCAGAAAGAAAACTGGAAACTTCTACTTCTAGACAAACCACAGTTTCCCATTACACATGAATCCCAATAATTATGGTCACATCTGAGTACGAAACTGCACTGTATGGTCAGTGTAAACTCATATAATGCAGTTTAAAGTAGTTTCAAACTGCATTACATGGCAGTGTAGATGTGGTCAATGATAAATCAAACCAGACTCAAAGCTTAGCATATGCTACAGCCATGGTTTGACAAACCTCAATGTTTATAATTTGCATGTTTAATATGCCTTGCATAAAAAACAGAAGCAAAAGTTTCCAGACACTTATTCTGCTCCTGAAAATTGAGAGAAAAATTGCCATCAATGCTAAAGTGCATATACTGTAATTAATCTGCACTGAACTAGGAAAAAATATTTTAATCCTGTCCTCCTTTCTTCGGACCACAACTGAAGCTAGTAACTTTGCAATGGGTTAAACCTTGTGCTGGTAGGACTGAAAGGTTGGCGGTTTGAATCTGGGGAATGGGATGAGCTCCCATCTGTCAGCTCCAGCTTCCCATGAGGGGTTATGTTCAGCAGTATGTACTTACAGGGGGATATGCATATGAATGCAGTTTCAACAAGGCCTTGCATAGAATGCATACATTCTAAAGACTGCAACTGTGGCTGTGCAGGAGTTTCTAACAGGGTGGAGGCTATATGAATTAAACATGACATCCATGTAAATCTTTAGTCATATGAGGGAGAATAGTTGGAGCCCCGGTGGTGCAATGGGTTAAACCTCCTCTGCCATCAACTCTGCTGGACCGGCCACGCTGTCCGGATGCCCGACCACCGTCTCCCAAAGCAGTTGCTCTACTCCGAACTCAAAAATGGAAAATGGAATATTGGTGGACAGGAAAAGAGATTTAAATATGGGCTCAAAGCCAACCTTAAAAACTCCGGCATAGACACTAAGAACTGGGAAGCCCTGGCCCTTGACCACTCCAGCTGGAGGTCAGCTGTGACCAGCAGTGCTGTAGAATTTGAAGAGGCACGAATGGAGGGTGAAAGAGAGAAATGTGCCAGGAGGAAGGCGCGTCAAGCCAACCCTGACCAGGACCGCCTTCCAACTGGAAACCAGTGCCCTTACTGTGGGAGAAGATGCAGGTCAAGAATAGGGCTCCACAGTCCCCTACGGATCCAGAAGAATACTGATCATGGAAGACTATCCTACTCATCCAACGAAGGATTCGCCTAAGTGAAGTGTGCCAGCAGGACTTCTGACCAAAAGATTGGCAGTACGAATCTAGGGCGTGGGGTGAGTGCCTGTCTGTCAGCTCCAGCTTCTCATGCAGGGACATGAGAGCAACCTCCCATAGGATGGTAAAGCATCCTGGCATCTCCTGGGCAATGTCCTTGCAAGACAGCCAATTATCTCACACCAGAAGTGACTTGCAGTTTCTCAAGTTGTTCCTGACACACACACACACAAAACAACTTTGCAAACTTCCATTATATCCCTAGACAACCTTTCTCCCCACTAAAAAAGCTCAAACAACATATTTATGTTGGGGTGATACTTTTTATGAACCATGAATCATGGTTGGGGAAGTGTTTTGCTACAATAGCAATTTAATCCCCCAAATATCAAATACTCATTAGACTTTATATGGGAGGCTATGAAAGTATCACTGATACCAAATACCGATTTGCCCCATAGGTGGCGCTGTGGGATTCTGAATGGTTTTGGTGTTTTGTCAGTTCTTGGAAGAACTTTGTAATATATCCACAATTACCTGATTCTTTGATGATTGATGTCCTCCATTGTGAAGTTGTAGACCTCAGAAAACTCCTCAGATCGTCTTCCAGGGATAACCCATATAAGAGTGCCATATATTGGAAGAGAAATTAACTGAATCCTTATCTGGGAATCAGGGGAATTGTTATCCTAAAGAAATCAGGAAGACAAAGGGGCAGAATTTAACATTGAGTCCCACCATTTAAAACAAAAAGAATGGGAACAGGGGGCAAAAAGGACCCTACATTTATTATCTCTGAAACATATAGAGAGGAAGTAATTTGAAATAAACTTTTTTTCCCACCCCCTGATATTTTGAAGCTTCCTCTAGCTACTATGCTCAGAAAGAGAATAAATTATTAGAAAATACTAAATATTGCAGATCCAATTAGTTTAAATTAGAGGGCTTTGTGTTCTCTAGATCTGCGTAATTTTATGCAATTCACACAATGCAACATGTCTGAGAACAATAAAACTGGATTGCCTGGGCAAAAAATTGCCGGTAAATGCTGTACAGAAACAGTTGTGCCTGTAAATGGTAGAACATCCCAATTATATTTCTCATCGGAATGGAATTCAAAATTTGACCAACTATATAATCCAATGTGTTTTGAAGTCATGGTATTAGATCAGCTAATCCAGTGTTTCTCGACCAGGGGGTTGCAAGGTGGTTTCAGAGGGGTCATCAAAGATCATCAGAAAACATATATTTCTGATGGTCTTAGGAACCCCTTTGGCAGAGAAGGCTGAAGATCTCTCCACCTGTACTTCTCTTCTTTGTTGGAAACAGATGGTGAATCCTCCCACCAAAAGCCCTCCTCTGCTATGATTGGCTGGCCTCTCAGCCAAGGGGAGACCTGTTTCTGGGACTCCAAGCAGGGAAGGGAGAGCAGGCGTGTTCGGCACATGGCAGCATGTTGGACATGCGTGGGGAAGGGTGAGTGTGCGAGACTGGAGGGAGGCTCGGGTTAGCGAGACCCTTCAAGACATAGGGGTTTTGTGTGGGAAACTTGTTCCAATTCTATCATTGGTGGGGTTCAGAATGTTCTTTGATTGTAGGCGAACTATAAATAATCTCAGCAACTACAGCTCTCAAATGTCAAGGTCTGTTTTCCCCAAACTCACATTTGGGCACATTGAGTATCTATGCCAAGTTTCATCATCATCATCATCATCATCATCACCACCACCACCACCACTTTATTTCTTAATTAGTCGCTCTCCACCAAAGTGCTCCGAGCGACTTAAAATTTAAAATAGCTTATACACAATATAAAACATTCAATATAAAAACATTCAACATAAAAACATTCAACATAAAAACATTCAGCAGTGACTATGGCAAAATTTGATCCAATTACTTAAATGCACAACCAAACAGCCAAGTCTTGAGCTCCTTTACAAAAGGTCGCAACTCCGACATTGCTCTAATATATGGAGGCAATGAGTTCCACAGAATTGGAGCATAGATCGAAAAAGCTCTACGCCTTGTAGCTTCCAAATGTGCCTCCCTAGGACCCGGTATCACCGGTATGTATAGGAGATTTTCCTGGGTGGATCGAGGTGACCACTGATGGGGGAAAGGAATGAGGCGGTCCCTAAGATATAAAGGTCCTTGGCCATTTTGAGCTCTAAATGTCAGGATCAGTATCTTGTAAGAGATCCGATGTTCTATTGGTAGCCAATGCAGTTGTTGCAGAATCGGTGTAATATGGGATCTTATAGATGATCCCACTAGCAGCCTGGCTGCCGCATTTTGGACCATCCGAATCTTCTGGGTCGTTGACTTCGGAAGGCCAGCATATAAGGCGTTGCAATAGTCCAACCTAGTGGTGACTGTTGCGTGGATTACCGTTGCCAATGCTTCTACCGAAAGGTAGGATGCCAATTTCCTTGCTTGGCGAAGATGAAAAAAGGCCTGCTTACTTATGGCAGTGATCTGGGCCTCCATCGTCAGCGATGAATCCAACACAACCCAAAGGCTTTTAACAGTGGCAGACGGAACCAGAGCTTCCCCATCGAAATCAGGCAGAGATTGGGTTAATTCTGGCGGCTGGCCGGGCCAGAGTAACTCAGTTTTTGCAGGAGAGGGTGGACCACTGCTTCTTTAAGGCAATCTGGAAAAATTCCTTGCTCCAAGGAGCTGTTGATGATGCTCCTTAAGGGATTTTGTAGTCCAGATCCATCACTGTTTGAGTTCACATTGCTTTCTGGGTGTAGATGAACTACAACTCCAAAACTCAAGGTCAATGTCCATCAAACCCTTCCAGTATTTTCTGTTGGTCATGGGAGTTCTGTGTGCCAAATTTAGTTCAATTTCATCATTGGGAAGACAGGCGGACAAATGTTAGCATGCTGGAAGAAGCAAAGACCACCAACATTGAAGTGATACTCCTATGCCATCAACTCCAAGGGACTGGCCACATTGTTCAAATGCCCTATCACCATCTCCCAAAGCAGCTAACTACTATACTCCCAACTCAAGAATGAAAAATGGAATGTTGGTGGACAGGAAAAGAGATTTAGAGATGGGCTTAAAGATAACCTTAAAAACTGTGGCCTAGATACCGAGAACTGGGAAGCCTTGGCCCTTGAGTGCTCTAACTGGAGGTCAGTTGGGACCAGCAGTGCTGTGGAATCCAAAGAGGCATGAATGGAGGGCAAAAGGGAGAAATGTGCCAAGAGGAAGGTGCATCAAACCAACCCTGACCAGGACCACTTTCCACCTGGAAACTGATTTCCTCACTGTAGACGAACATGCAGATCAAGAATAGGGCTCCACTGTCACCTACGTATCCACCGCCAAGACACTACACCTGGAAGGCCATCATACTTTGACAACGAGGGATCATCTAAGTAAGTAAATAGAAGCTACTCTTACAGTAAGGTGTAGGATTGGTTTTCAAAGTCCTATTGCCAGACACAAAGCCAAATCATTGCAGAATGTGGTCTCAATCACTTAAGGAATTTAAGTCCCAGGAGATATTATACGTCCTCAAAAATGATAGTAAATTGACTCCAGAATCACACTGGAGAACCTAGAGATTCCTAGAGAGGTGTTCTCTCAGGTAAAAAGAGGAGGGATTCTTTTTTACGCAGGTTTTCCACTTTCACAGGGGTCTTGTGCCTCTAAACTCAGAGTATGTCAATAGTTGAGTTAGCCTTAAAACCTAATGCCTAAATCCAATGGCTAATTCCAGAACATTTAATCAATTGTGGAGTGGTAAACTCATCAAGTGAATAGCTGCCCTATAGTTGGGGCAGGCAATTGGATTTCAGGCACAATATCACAACTGTTTTATCCATATGGAAATGTATGCAGATTTAATTAATTGCTTGATTAATGAACCCCATCCAATTAATAAACTAACATTTCTCAAACCGATAATTGACTCTAATGCTGTCATGAATCCATTGTTATCAGGAGACTCATCCAGAACATTTTTTTTGGTTCTACTATTTTTTTTTCAAAATGAGATTCATTTACAGAGGATCATCTAATCTCATCCTGCCAACTGCAAGCCCATTTTAGTTTGTCACTGAATCTTCAACAGAACAGGATGAAGAGATATTTTGGGGGGAATGGTATAAATATAGGAATGGCAGAATGCAGGGTATGTATGGCATGTCCTGCATTCTGCCCATGCCATTTTTTAAAAAAAAGATTATGTTATATAAATTTCTGAAAATACAGAATGCTGATGAAGCTTTCCAAGGTCCGGTGTCAATGGCTGTTATCATGCGATCCAATATAAAAGGATAGCATTGCTGAAGTCAGTTCTAAGCCCTGGACATATGAGAGAGGACTCTGCATTTCAAATTTTGACAGATAGGTAGCACTCATGAGTTGTATAGGGTTGGGATTAAGCAGAAGACATGCTTGTTGATAGAATTCAAATTGCTGCTGACAGTGCAACCTGATAACAGAGCTGCTCTGCTGGATAAGATTTGCAGGCAGAAGAGCCAAAAATGTATGGAGAATAGGTGAGGCAAGAGAAGAGTTAGGTTGCATCAAATGTGAGGAATGCCATGGATGTAGCGTACCTGGATTTCAGTAAGGCCTTCGACAAGGTCCCCCATGACCTTCTGGCAAGGAAACTAGTCCAATGTGGGCTAGGCAAAACTACGGTGAGGTGGATCTGTAATTGGTTAAATGGACGAACCCAGAGGGTGCTCACCAATGCTTCCTCTTCATCCTGGAAAGAAGTGACGAGCGGAGTGCCGCAGGGTTCCGTCCTGGGCCCGGTCCTGTTCAACATCTTTATTAATGACTTAGATGAAGGGTTAGAAGGCATGATCATCAAGTTTGCAGATGACACCAAATTGGGAGGGATAGCCAATACTCCAGAGGACAGGAGCAGAATTCAAAATGATTTTGACAGATTAGAGAGATGATTGGCCAAAACTAACAAAATGAAGTTCAACAGGGACAAATGCAAGATACTCCACTAAGGAGAAAAAACAAAATGCAAAGATACAGAATGGGGGACAATGCCTGGCTCGAGAGCAGTACATGTGAAAAAGCTTGGTGTCCTTGTGGACAACAAGTTAAACATGAGCCAACAATGTGATGTGGTGGCAAAAAAAGCCAATGGGATCTTGACCTGCATCAATAGAAGCATAGTGTCTAGATCTGGGGAAGTAATGCTACCCCTCTATTCCGCTTTGGTTAGACCACACCTGGAATATTGTGTCCAATTCTGGGCACCACAATTAAAGAGAGATATTGACAAGCTGGAATGTGTCCAGAGGAGGGCGACTAAAATGATCAAGGGTCTGGAGAACAAGTCCTATGAGGAGAGGCTTAAGGAGCTGGGCATGTTTAGCCTAAGAAGAGAAGGCTGAGAGGAGATATGATAGCCATGTATAAATATGTGAGAGGAAGCCACAGGGAGGAGGGAGCAAGCTTGTTTTCTGCTTCCTTGGAGACTAGACGGAACAATGGCTTCAAACTACAAGAGAGGAGATTCCATCTGAACATGAGGAAGAACTTCCTGTGAGAGCCGTTCAGCTGGGGTCTCCTTCTTTGGAAGCTTTTAAACAGAGGCTGGATGGCCATCTGTCAGGGGTGATTTGAATGCAATATTCCTGCTTCTTGGCAGGGGGTTGGACTGGATGGCCCATGAGGTCTCTTCTAACTCTTTGATTCTATGATTCTAAATCCAACCACACTGGCATCCACTGTAATTATGAGAGCAATCCTCCCTTTCCAGACTCACAATTTTACTGTAGTATCTCCATGAATTCAATGGCTAGTGGAGGGTGTAAGGGATCAAAGAAGCATCTCATTATGTCCCCTAACTAGACATAAATTGGTGGCATCATCCTTAAAGTATAATAACAACAACAGCAACAACAACAACAGCAACAACTTTATTTTGGACACAAGAAGAGCTGAATGATCTGGACAGAAAAACAAGAAAACTGTTGACAATCCACTACTCAGTACACCTGCGTAATGATGTTGACAGACTTTACCTGCCCAGAAAATCAGGAGGCAGAGGGCTTCTGCAAGTGAAACAAATGGTAGAAGAAGAGAAACATGCACTGGCAGGTTATGTGAAAAGCAGTCAAGAACCAATATTGAGGGAAGTCAAGAGTAGAAAACTGCTTCAAGTGCAAAAGACAAAGAGGGAATACCATAAAAACACAATGCAGAGCAGAAGAGAAAACTGGCAAAACAAGGCTCTCCATGGATAGTTCCTGGGAAAAATTGAGAGCCAAACTGACAAAGAAAGGTTTGTAGGGGAAGATGTGGTCACAAAGATAGGCAGGTCCCAACCATTTAGAGCTTTGATTTTGTTTTCTCACAGCTATAGAATAGCTACTCAAGGGGATTACCACAACCAAGAGTTCTAGGGTTAGTAAATAGACACCACAACCCTAAACCCTTGTGCCAGGAGGTCTGCCAACCAAAAGGTCGGCAGTTCAAATCCAGGGAGTGGGGTGAGCTCCCATCTGTCAGCTCCAGCTTTCCATGCAGGGACATGAGATAAGCCTCCCACAGGATGGTAAAACATCTGGTCATCCCCTGGGCAATGTCCTTGTAGAGGGCCATTTCTCTCACACCAGAAGCGACTTGAAGTTTCTCAAGTTGCTCCTGTCAAAAAAAAAACCACAGCAGAATCTGGTGCCACACTGAGCAATGTAGGATCTTGGCCAGTATGAGTTTCTGAATCTTTCATGCAGCAGATGTGTTAGTCTACAACCTTGATAATCCCACCCAACCAGCTGGCTCAGGGATCAAGGAAGGTGTAATAGCAAACTTGGAAAGCCTGTGTCCCTTTAGCCATTCAACAAAGGACAATCCATTCCACACAAGCCAAGGACATTTTCCATCACTTCCATGGTGGCATGAACCTTAAAAGGCTTAATAACACCTGACACGGGGATTAGCTTCACTTCCCTTTTACCTCCCTACTTCACCTCTACCTTAATGTAACAGGCCTTGTCTGAAACAGCTGTTCAGAAAGAAAGAAGCCATTATTTCTACTCCTCTCCTGTGGCAGCTGCAGGCAGGACACAGTATAAGAGGTTAAAACTTTTGCCAACTTAAAACCTTCAAAGGGTGTGGGTAGTTTAAGTTACAACGGTCTCCTTCGCACATTTACTGTGTTGGAAAGCAGCTGCTGGCCACAGATTCGCTTTTGTCTGTGAATAATAAAATTCTAACAGAGAGCAGGCGAAGTGCCCAGATTTTGTTAGCAGCTTCTTGAAATGCCAGGGGGAATGAGCCAAGTTTCCACCAGCATGGGAGGCAGAGTTATATTTCCCCAGTTGCAGGAAAGATGCCACCTCTGCGCCTTTACATGGCCCTAGGAAATGTCCCTGTGCTAGAACACTGGAGTGGGAAGTACCAAGAGGACTGAAACTATCAGCAGCTCTCAGCACAGAATCACCTGAAACCTCAATACTGGCAGGAAAACAAGCCAGAGCCCAAAAAAGACTGACTTAGCTCTTGTAAGGATAATGTGAAGAGCAGGACCGTATACATTACCTTTAATAGATTGGAGTAAATAATGAATGAAAACCACTGTGATGTGTTGGGCTACAAATGTGGAGACCAAGGTTTGAATCCCTCCTCAGCCATGGAAACATACTGGATGAGCTTGGGCAGGTCAAGTTTCTCAAACTCAAAGGCAAAGGCAAACCCCTTCTGAACTAACCCTATCAAGAAAACTGTTATAGGCTGACTTACAAGAGTTGCTGCAAGACAGAAATGACTTGAAGCAACAACAAATGAATAAAATATATTGATGTTTTTAGATGCCTTCAGGTTGACTCCAATTTATGGCAAGCTAGCCCTAGAGTTTTCTTAACAAGTGTTGGTCTTAACCTATAAAACCCTAAATGGTTCTGTCTGAACATATCTCCCTCTGCAAACCCCCAAGGACCTTAAGATCATCTGGAGAGTCCCTGCTCTCAGTCCCACCGCCATCACAGTCACACTTGGTGGGAACGAGAGACAAGGCCTTCTCAGTGGTGGCCCCTCGGCTGTGGAACTCCCTCCCTAATGAGATCGGATCTGCCCCTCCTCCCCAAATGACATTCTAGAAGAAACTCAAACCCTGGTTATGTGATCAAATGTTCACAGAATATATGGTTTTGATTGACTTTTTAGACAACTGTTTTAATGTATCTATAATTGTGTTTAATGTAGGTTAATTGTATATTATGCTTGTTTTATTGTTTGGCACCGAATGGTGCCTATTGGTAGCCGTCCTGAGTCCTAATAAATAAATAAATAAATAAATAAATAAGATGTATTTAGAGGATATTTGTCAATGCCTTTGGCTAAGCAAGTGTGATTTGGCCAAGGTCACTCAGTGGGTTTCTATTACTGAGTGAGGATTCAAACTCTGGTTTCCAAGAGTCCTAGTCCAACACTCAAGCCATTACACTATGCTGGCTCAGACATCATCTTATCAAATATCACCTGACATATCCTGACATACAGAAAAATATGTCAACTATGGTTCTATGTTGCTATTTCCTGCCATAGACAATGATATCCAGTCTTGTCATCTTTCCTCCCTGTATGCAATTCTGGACTACTGCTAAGGAGACTCTGGTACAAAATGTCGTTCAGCTGTGAAATTTGTAGTGGGCCCTTTGGATCCATATGTTCTGCACCTACAAATTCAACCATCCATGGCTTGAGAATATTGAACGATAGTTGATAATTTTACTTTGATGTCATGAAAAGCCTCACCTGCTCATTTCTACATGCCAAAACGGTCCTACCTGGATGCACACAGACAAATCTAGCCTGACACCTGCAACTTCTTTTGGGCCAACTGGCTGCCCTATATCAACTCCCAGCTGCTAAAATGCATGCATGCAGACGTCAACAGCACATTGCTCCAAAAAACAAGCCCTTATAAAGAGAAACACTGTCCACCTGAGATAAATGCAAAACTACAATATTTAGCTTACTTAGCAACTGTATTGCCACTCAAAATGCAATGTAGATCATTCACATGAGCATATCAAAGATGCCAGGACACCCTGACACATAGGGAGGCTAGAGATAAAACAAGTATCTCAAAAAAATGGATGATATGCTTACAGTATACGCAAAATGAGCTCGGGTGATGATCACAGAGCTTTTGCCGGCCATTGTGATGGCCATTGAGCAGGTAGGATCCAATCTCGGACCTTCACTCTCCATGGGCCTCACTTCCACTTTCAGCCTGGTTGCCGCTGTGGTGACTCCATCAGATACTGATATCTCCATTGTATCTTCTGCTGAGGAAGACCCATCATGGATATACTGCAAAGTATTCCTGGTGACATCCTCATAGGTGAAAATATCTCCTTTTCAGAAAGACAAGTTGTAATCAGGATCATCTCATTCACAACATGATGGTCACATCGACATATTGTAGTCTAAGGCTTCTATTTAGAAAATTGAGGAATGTGACTAAAAATACATCTAGTATTTAATCTGGAAGCTACTAACTTCGTGAATAAAATGAAAATACATTGAAACAAATACTCAAGATTTGTTCTGTACTTCAGGTCCTGAGATGTACCAAATATGGAAAAATAATAACATGCCATTCCATCCTGGGACATCTGCTCATCCTACCTGCACTCAGGTGGTTAGGAAATCCAGAACTGTGCTTGAGGAGAGCTCCATGATGAGGAGGTTCCACCACCTCAAAGAAGAGGTCTTCGGGAACTGTGTCAACATCACCTATGGTCAGCTGTATCCCTGAACCATCCCCAAAGAAACAGAAGATAAAAAGGGTTATTCAACATCTTGGTAGAGGCCAATAGAGAACCATGTTTCCATATCCAGTTCTCTAATCAACCCTCTAGTTCCTATATGAAGCATCTTGTTCCTTTAAGTTTCCACCAGGTAATTGTGGCAACAACTTAAACACACCCTGAGATCATTAGCTAGTTGCTGGTCCTTACCAATGGTGGCTCTCCCTCCTTGACTGACTTCAAGGACTGGAGCCATGATCTGTAAGAATGGAGGCTGCCCATCAGAGGAAAGCAGGTGGATGGTAAATACCATTTCAGGACTTGTACGGTCTCCATCGGACACTAATGGAAAATAATTACATTAAAATAATTAAAGCAATGTTTTCCAAACATTTGTCTTCTAAGTGTTGTTGACTTCAACTATCAGAATTCCTGACTGTTGGCCAAGTGGGCTGGAGTTTATTGGAGTTGAAGTTCAAAACAGATTGGGAATCGAAGTTGGGGAACCACTAGATTAAATACTGTATGTATGTGTGTGTGTGTATATATATATATGTGTGTGTGTGTATAAGAACTGCTAATGATGTTGTATATCTTCAAGTCATTTCCAACTTAAAATGACCTTAAAGTGAACTTATCACTAGCACAACTTGTTCAGAGGGAGTGTGTGATTCATTTCCTCTGAGGATGAAAGAATATCACTTGCCCAAGGTGACTCAGTAGGTTTCAATCATCAAGTGGGGATCTGAGTCCTGGTCTCCAGAGATGGAGCACAATTGCTATATAGAGCTGGTCTTTTAAAAAGAATTTTCGATTTGTCCTTACTCGAAAGCAAGATAAAGAACTACTTGCAATTGAAAAAGTTGGTTTTGACATATATAGTTCTCAATGGTCTAGGACAGGCAAGCCTGAAAGATTGATTAATCCCATGTGAACTGACATGAATGTCTTGATCTCAATACTCCCAGTTTCAGAACTCATGGGCATGGCTACCAAAACAAGGCCTTTCTGGCCATGGAATACTCTCATCATTTTTTAATGACGTCTTATAGGCACTTCTTTGTTGGTAATACAGTCCCTTAATTTGATCTATCTATCTATCTATCTATCTATCTACTACAGTCCCTTAACCTGATCTATCTATCTATCTATGCACGATTGTAGTTTTGAGACTAGGAAGACATAGTCCTCTTCTTTTCTTATCGTCTTGTAGTACTTTGAATCTGGCCCTTGGTCTTTTTCATTGCCAAATATATGTGGATTGGTTTTTCTGCCATTATTTAAATGGAATGTCATTAAATATATTTGGCAAGGCTAGAAATAGAAACAGCAACTTTGGTAGTATATTCATCTTTATAGTTGAAATTCTACTCATAAGAGAGAGCTGTAAAACTTCCCACCTACGTAAATCTTTTTAAACTTCTTTCCATGTTAGATCATAATTATTCTTAAACAACTCTGAGTTTTTAGTAGAAATGTTTATACCTAAATATTTAACATTTTGTACAACTTGAAAACCCAATTTCTCGAAGATGATTTTCGGTTCAATTTTTGTTAGATTCTTGGCCAACTGTTGTTTTTTCCTTATTAATTTTAAATCCTGATATTCCTCCATATTATTTCAGGATAGGGTTCAGAAATCTACCTGTGTTCAGAGGGTCCTCTTAAAAAATCACTAAGTCATCTGCAAAAGCTTTCAATTTATAACTTTATTCTTTTATCCTTACTCCTTTGATGTCTTCTGCCTTTCTTATGGTGTTGTTCAAAATCTGTATTACCAACAAAAACAATGACTGGGAGAGGGAACAACCTTGTCTGGTCCCTTTTTGTATTTTTCAATATTTTGTCAGTTCCTCATTGACCAAATTTTGGACACTTTGCTCATAAATTTGTTTAACCCATCTTTGAAAGTTTGGCCCAAAGTTCATCTTGTCCATGATTGTTTATAAAAACGACCAAGATACATTATTGAAAGCCTTTTCAGCATCTACGAAAGTCAAAGCTGCCTGTTTTTCATCATGGGCCTCATAATATACAAAATGTCCAGAACGCATCTCACATTATCACTTAGATGTCTCTTTGGTAGAAACCTTGCTTGATCTTCCTATTTCAAGGCCTATAAGACTTTCTTCAACCTCTTTACCAATTCACAGCATAAATCTTGTAGTCATTATTTAGCAGAGATGTGGGTCTATAATTTTGAGAGTCTTTAATATCGCAATTTTCTTAAGGAATTAGAGTTATTGTAGCTGATGCCAGCAATCAAGGATACTATTATTCAAGACACTGTTCATAATTTGGAGTAACATTATGTATAATTATTTTTGCATTGTCTTGTAATATAATGCCAACAATCCATCTGGACATGGAGCATTTCCCATCTTTAGTTTGGAGATTGCTTCAGTAAGCTCCATCATTAAAATTGGATCTTCAATTTCTTTTCTTTGTTCTTCATTATGTGTGGAGAGAGTTTTGTTTTCCAAGTATTTTCCCAAGGGAAATTTAGATGCATCTGTACTTTTATAGAAGATGGGTAGTAGTTGTGGAATATTTATTTAATCTTGTTCTGGTTGGTAACTTCCTTGTTTCCAGCTCTAATCTTTAATATTTGTTTCTTCTTTCTTTCTTTCTTTCTTTCTTTCTTTCTTTCTTTCTTTCTTTCTTTCTTTCTGTAACCCAAAAGCTAGCCATCATCCCTAAAAGCAAGAGCTTGAGCTACCTCTAAGTATCTAAGTTAGAACCAAAGATTAAAACAAACAATCACATAAACACAGCGAAATATAAGCAGACAATTCAGGCAAAGAACAGAAAATATCTGTTTACCTGTAAAACGAAAGCTAACAGATTCAGGAAGACCTAGAGGGAAAAAAACACAAAAATTGTTTTAAGTATGAGGAAAGGTACAATATTAAAATTAAATTGCATCACAAATAATTGAAATTGCTGAGTTTTAGAGTTAAACACTATGTGTCTGTGTGAGGGTGGAAACCTAAAGTCAACTACTTCAGAAATATTCATCTTATTTGTGCTTAGATACATTTAAATTTCAACTTATTTCATAGATCAGAGATGGGGAAAGTGCATCCAAAAGGGTGCAAGCAGTTATCCAGGCTCCACAGTGTCCCTTGCCCAACCTTTCCAGATATCTTCCCATTGAGAGGAAATGCAGACTGGAAGTGGTTAATCATGCCCCTGGAAGTCTCCAGAAGCATGACTGGCCATTTTGATGTTATCTTCTGGTCTATCTTTTTCAGCCCCAAAGCAGTCATTCATCATAACTGCTGCACCATGATCTATGCAAATATAGATCATGGTGAACCCAAATATAGCAGCCAGTGTAGACTTGAGTGCATCTCTGTATACGAACCCACACGATCTCTTTGATCATCTGGAGAGGCCCTGCTCACGATCCCACCTGCATTGCAAGTGCAATTGGTGGGGACGAGAGACAGGGCCTTCTCGGTGGTGGCCCCTCGACTCTGGGACTCACTCCCCAAGGACATCAGGCATGCCCCAACACTGGCAGTCTTTAGAAGGAGCTTGAAAACATGATTGTTCCACTGTGCCTTCCCAGAATAAGGAAAGTCCAAGCAATATGTCCCAAATGCATTTTACTAGAGATCTAGAATTGCCTGCATGCCCCACCTATCCCTAAAATATCTATCCTATTTCACCTGATCATGCCCAACATTTTTAAAGATTTTAAGTACTACATTTGGCCCTGCCACAGGTTTTAATGCGCCGCGGTGTTATTGTTTATGTTTTTTGCTTTGTTTATGAGTTTATTTATTTATTTATTTATTGTACTGTTGTTGTGTTTTACTGATGTATTTGGGCTCGGCTTCTTGTAAGCCGCACTGAGTCCTTTGGGAGATGGTAGTGGGGTATAAATAAAGGATTATTATTATTATTATTATTATTATTATTATTATTATTATTATAGCTTCTGGGTGAGAGGTTGAAATCTATACCTATTCACAGTTCTTTGTGGAGCAGTCTAAAAATTATGAACTTTTTTGAAAAAACTGAGGCAGCCTACTCAACATCTTCCAAAGTCTTATGTATTCTTTGTCTCAGAAACTGAATAACGGCTTCAAAAATACATGAGCAGAGTGTATGCTTAAATAGTTAAATGTCCGCCAAAAGCTTTTGAGAAACAGGAGCTGGACAAGAATGTCTTCCTAATTTAAATTCTGACCTGGACAACTTATTAGATTCTGTAGTTGAAAGAACTTGAGCTGCTTCAGTGATTTCTTAAAAATAGAAATGTTTTGGCCATGAAGCCGAGAAGTACAAAGTTTTTCAAATCCTATCCAAACCAAGCACCATTCACAAATGGCAATGAAACTCATCCATAAAGGTCATTCTGGACTCAGGATGGGCCTCTTGAATTTGTCATTTGCCTTTTCCATGTCAGAATCACTTAGAAGTCCACATTAAAAGAAAGCCCCAGATCTCTAAAGGACAGAAAGACATAATACCTCCATGCATGACCAGTTTAATTGTGGCAACCAAATTAAAGAGCATTCAGGGGAAATGGTTCTGTGGCTTTGGCAAGCTCTTGCTCTATATTTCCCAGTCATTTTACTAGGCCTTGAGGAGAATCGCTTCCTAGCAAATGGTGGGCTATGGATTTAGTGCCAACAGTGGGAGGCAGTGCATGTCTCCATTCTCTTCTCCGTAAACTGACAATGAAAGACATTTTCTCGTTTCAGAGGTCTATCGGGAGAATTGGCTTGTTTGTTTGTTTGTTTTGCACTTTCAAAAAATGGCAGCTGTTCGCCCTTACTATGCCCAAGAGAGCTATAGCTTAACATCCATTGCTTCAGCCTGTTTGACAGTATGCCAGACCTTCGTGAAGGGGTTTTTATTTTTTTAAAAAAATGTCATGATAAAATCCAATGATTCAATAATATAAGTGGGTTTTGGATTTCATTACCCAGGAACACACAGTCCAACTAACAAGAGAATCTGCATGGCCCTGGATGGTGCATATTTCATTGGGAGTAGGTTTGTAATGAAATTATTGCATTGCAGATGGATGGGAGGGCTTTCTAACAAAATGAAATGGAAACCCAATAAAACCAAGGTACATGTGCTTATACGCCTCCTTTATCCAGAGCTCAGAAAGGTATTTTTAAAAAGTAAACCACTGAATAACCAACATACTCCAATTCATTGCTGTTAGTGTTAAGAAGATAACATTATATAAATGCACACAGTCTCCAAGTTACAAACATCCAAAGTACAAATGACTTATAATTAAGAACAAGGGTGAGACAACACCACAATTCAAGAGAGATATTGACAAGCTGGAATGTGTCCAGAGGAGAGCGACTAAAATGATAAAGGGTCTGGAGAACCAGCCCTATGAGGAGCAGCTTAAGGAGCTGGGCATGTTTAGCCTGAAGAAGAGAGAGATATGATAGCCATGTATAAATATGTGAGAGGAAGCCACAGGGAGGAGGGAGCAAGCTTTTTTTCTGCTTCCCTGGAGACTAGAACATGAAACAATGGCTTCAAACTACAAGAAAGGAGATTCCATCTGAACATGAGGAAGAACTTCCTGACCATGAGAGCCGTTCAGCAGTGGAACTCTCTGCCCCGGAGTGTGGTGGAGGCTCCTTCTTTGGAAGCTTTTAAACAGAGGCTGGATGGCCATCTGCCAGGGGTGATTTGAATGCAATATTCCTGCTTCTTGGCAGAATGGGGTTGGACTGGATGGCCCATGAGGTCTCTTCCAACTCTTTGATTCTATAATTCTATGATTCTATGAACAGGAAGTGAGAGGAATCTTCCCCTCAGAAGAGAAATTCACTCCTGGAAGAGTTATTATCATGGGGAAAAGGTGTCTCCACTGAAACTTTCCCACCAATCCTTATTTCCACAACAAGCCACATTTTTCAAAATCCAACAATCACAGGGATAGAAAGTAAGGCACAATCTTCTGAAGAGGGGCACAGACAGCAAAACAAACACCACAGGGATGTTAACCCTTTTCTATGCGATTCAAAGCTAAATAATAAATATACGAGGGTTGAATGAAAAGTAATGCCTCCACCTTCGTAACTCTTCAATAGATGGCGGTACTGGTATGCAGCAGGTACTGGCTTGTTCAGTAGACTCTCCTCTACAGTTCCATTTTGGCGGAAAGCCTTAGTATTCAATGGTTGAGTTGCTGGGGGTTTGATACTGAGCAAGTGTATGAATCTGTGTTTCATCCATAAACTTAATATTCTACCTGATACATTAGTGTTTCTCTTGGGACCAAAGTTAATGTCCCATGCAAACACAGGGAAACAGATCCAAATGTTACGTGCAAACACAGGGAAAGACAGTGAGAAAAAGAAAGAACTGTGTTACCCGAAAGCGGGGGAGGGGGGTACAGGTGAAGGAGAATAATCAGAACTGGTAAGTATGCGTTTAACTGTGCTCTTTACTCCAAATTTAAACCTCTCCAAGCTGCTTCTCCACAAACCTTCCCAATACAGTAGGACCTCTTGTCCACAGATTCAATATCCAAAGTTTCACTACCCACCCCAGGCACCATGTTGTGAGCTTTTCTAAGGTATGTTTCTGCCCCAAGTATAGTCAAAATATAGGGTTTGCTATTATCCATGGTTTTATGTCTCCATGAGGTGGGTTCATGTCTTGGAATGTATCCCTCATGTCTATGGGAGTTGTATTTGTTGTATGTCAGCCTGTTCAGCCTGTGATTGTGTCTGATGTTTATGCTGATGTTCATGATGGGAATTTTTTTGGTGAGAATGGGGATGATGTTCCGGTTGCTGGGTCGGGGTCTGTTGGCATTGGGGATGCGGGGTTGCTAATCAGGAAGATTCACAAGGCCACATTCCTGAAAGAGGCATCTCCCTGCTTTTCTCAGAGCAATTGTCTGAAAATGATGCTGAGATTGATTTGCCAAGTGCAGGAGTTAATGAGGGAGAGGATAGTGAAACCTTGGACAGAAAGCAAAGTTTTAATAAACAGAGGCAGAGCTTTCAGAGACTGAGGTGATCGGTTTGGCTACAGCAAAAGAGAGATAACAAACTGTTATCTGGTGAGAAGGTCAAGAAAAATACTTTCCTTTCAATTTTGGGATCTGGAAAGGTTTATAATGATTCATGGGAGACAGTTGCCTTAGTTGAGTCAATGTTGTTATTTTATCACAGTCTTTCTTTTAAGTGCTCTGAGTTTCATGTACCAAGTTTTTGCCAAGCTTAAGTTCTGCCTATGGGATTTTCCTGCTGTTTTGTTTCATGTTTTCAAGTGCCTTGTTCCATGGATTTCTTTGTACTCATGGATCTTGTCTCCCATTGAAGCTTATGGACTATTTTGGATTTTGGACCTTTACTGTTTTGCTATTTTTTTACTGTTTTGCCTACATATATTCTACAATAAACTGCTTGCTGATTTTACCAAGCTGGTGTGGTGTTTAAGGTCAGAGGTGTTCCTGCTCTGGTGTACAATAGTATTGTGCATATGTAGAATGAGCACATAATGTCATTCAGGAAAAGAGGCTGTATTGTTTGAGGATATAGAGGAGGATTCCATTCCTCAAAGCTTCCTAGAGTTGCCACCAAGAGACAGAGACAAATAGCCCACAAAGAAGGACATGTCCGAACGTATTCTCCCCCATGAACCATCTAGGTTGTTAAGATCATCTGGAGGGGCCCTGCTCTCGGTCCCACCGGCCTCTCAGGAGCGTCTGGTGGGGATGAGGGACAGGGCCTTCTCGGTGGTGGCCCCTCGACTCTGGAATTCTCTCCCACTGGAGATCAGAACTGCCCCCTCCATTCTGTCGTTCAGAAAACTGGTGAAAACCTGGCTATGGGGTTTGGCTTTCGACGAGTGAATCAATATTTCTGTGATCGGATAGATGACGATGAATGATGGACAACGAATTCACTATGATGACTGACCATTGTTATTATGTGATTGCATTTTGCTATTATAATGTTTTAATTGAATATGTTATATGATGTTTTTAATGATTGTTTTGTGATTTTATTGTTGGAAACCGGCCCCAGTCCCCCGATAGAGGGGAGAAGACCGGTATACAAAATTGCTAAATAAATAATAAATATTTTATCTACTAGCTTTTTCGTTGGACCAGCTTCTTACCAGCAAAGGAGAACTCCCTCATCTCTCTGATATGTGAGGCAGCTTTAGGCGGACGGTACACGATTTTACCATGATTGACATCATCCTGTGTAAAATACTTTACTGGAGAGAGGGGCTTGTCCCTGTGTTCGACAATACCTGTGGAAACCAAGACAGCACTTTGCTATCACAATGCAACATTTGTTTCAAACCAGTTTCAGCCGGCACCTTTTAATAAACTTTGTATTTGGTTCCTCCCATAATGACATAGGTAACTCATTCTTTCTCCATGTTAGGCTAGCCAGCTGCCAATTTTTAAGAGATGAAAGAAGAAATTATAGTCTACATAGCTGTCACTGAAACTTATTTTTTCATCTTGTCGATACAAGTCTTTAGAGTTTATACTCTCGTCCCAAATACAGAAGGTAAACACTACTATGTCCCTGATTTCTGATTTTGCTCAGAGAAAGAACAGCAATGTTTTCCACTTCTTCAGCAAGACTACCAACTCCTGACATGCAGTATCCCTTAGGAAAACCATATTTCCCAAGGCTATGTGTGCCTGGGGAGTTGTATAGTTTCATGTCAGGTGTCCGAAGAGGATTCAGATCAGACTGGCTGTCTTTAATACACACAATTTTCCAATTGGAAGAAGAAATACATCAGAGTTTAATCCAACCCAAATTGATTCAAGTCTGGGGTCAATCACAGTCAATGTGAATGAAAAAAGCAGTATTCACAGCCTTACTGTGTAAGAGAGCATCTCCCAAGGCAGATCAAATCATCCTTGAATCAGTTTAATAATATAATAATAAATAATTGTACATCAAATCTGGTTTTCTATCAGTATCCATCAACCCCAAAGCTTACAATGTTCTTTTCAAGAAAAATAAGCATAATTCTACTCCTAGTAAAGATAGAGGTTTCCCCTGATATTAAGTCTAGTCATGTCTGACTTTGGGGTTGTTTCTCGTCTCCATTTGTAAGCCAAAGAGCCGACATTGTCCATAGACACCTCCAAGGTCATGTGGCCAGAATGGAGTGCCGTTATCTTCCCATCAAGGCTGTACCTATTGATCTGCTCACATTTGCATGTTTTTGAACTGCTAGGTTGGCAGAAGCTGGAGCAAACAGCAGGAGCTCACCTCAATCCCCGGATTTGAACCTTCAACCTTTCAGTCAGCAAGTTCAGTAGCTCAGTGGTTTTACCTGCTGCACCTCAGGGGAGCCATCCTCCTCCTGCTCTGTTATAAAAAGCTGGAGTATGTTATGATAATCCCTTTTCTTAGAAATAGCTTCCTAGTTTATGTCTTACCACATTCCCTTTGCTGCTTGATTATTGCCCTTCTTGTTTTAACTGCAAATAGAGTAACACAAAGAACCTTCTTTATGATGTTTACTTGCCTTGATTTGGTGGCAAAGGGACAGTCACATTGTACACAATTTTCCCACTCGGACTCTCTGAGTCAACAAAGGTAAGATGATGTGGCTCTATAGGGGTCAAACGATCTTCTAGAGCCTAAAAGACACCAAGGGATGATATGGTTTATGTTAAGATCATTATCCAGGGAAAATAAAGGGGAGAGAAGCAGCAGATTTCCTAACAGATCATAATAAAAAATTCTAACAGCTTTCCATATATACTGCTACTTTACCAGAACAGTATTACATGACTTTGGAGTACTCATGCATTGCAAAAATATCATTCCAATCTATTTTTTCAAAGAAAAGGTCACTGCTGAAAAGAGATCCATTTACAGCTCCATCGTCCAAATTTTCTCTTTACCTCCCATGGACCATTAAATTGTAAGTTTATTTCCCAGTAAGACACTATAAGCAAAGAAAGGAAGAGTACAGCCATTTTCTCAAAGGACACGTGTTACCACGGAGGAAATTACATGTTGCACCAAAAAGTATGTATCAGTGTCCCACCAGCTGATCTCAAACAAGGGAATGCTGCTGTTAGTTAAGAGTGACCAGGCGAAGGTGAAATGTCAAGCTGGTAAGAAAACCTTGGATATATCAGTCAACAATTCCTATCAGCCATCAGAATCAGTTTGGAGAAGGCTTCCACCAACTACTGTCCTAACCTGCATTAAACTACCTAGATGCTTTCACTTCTTATGTTCTATGACTCTGAAAGCTTTAGACCAAAATATCTTATGTGCTCTTTCCAAAGCTAACCAAATCAAAGCTAACCATGTTCCCTATTTGAAAACTATAGTTTGGAAAATGTATCACATTTTGAGGAAATGTTGACTGGAGGCTTCAGGGAAATGTAATTCAAAAAAGAAAACTTTCAACCTTTATCCTGTATTAACAGTATAGTTTGCTTTTCACATTTGCAGGTTTAATTTTTATGGATTTGATTAATAAGATGGACCCTAATCTGGCTCTATGGTCAACTTCAATCAAAAGTTGGCCAGACAGCTTGTGCTGGAGAACCTGGAGATTCCTAGAGATAATACCTCTTTAGGAATCTCTAGGTCCTCCAGCACAACTCTACAATCAATGTTTGGCAGAAATCGAGCAGAACATTGCACTGGGGTCCTAGACATTTCTAGGGTTTTTTTGCATCCCAGCTGTGAGACCCCTTTTCATTCAGACACCATGCAGAGATAAGAGAATCCACTAAGTAAAGCATATTAATAAAAATATGAAAGATAAGAAGAAGCACAATAAAAAGACCAATCCAAAATCCAAAAGATAAATCCAGAAACTCCAAAGTTGCTGAGTATACTGGACAATCAGGTTCACGAATCAAACCACATTAATTCAAAACTTGGAACTTCACTTTGTGTCAATACAGTGAAACAAACTCCATACACTTGATCAAAGTTAAATCCAGAACTTGAGAACAAAACAGCGAATAAAACCAGACTAAAAACCATGAAGACGTGAACAGGAATTACAATCCAGAATCGTGAACACTTGAAGAAAGGCCATACAACTTAAGAGTTGTTCCCACTTGAAATGCTACGTTGTTCTCACAAAGAGCAGTCCACTCGGAGCTCACTTAAGTCTCAATTCCTTCCTATGACATCACTCCACGTATACCCGGTTCTTCACTGCTTATCTCGAAGCCACTGGGAAAAGTGAGTCTGTCTCACTTTTACACTCTCTTGATGCAGCTGCAGCTGCTCTGACCTAAGGAAAGACTCACACTCCCCCACTGTCCTCTCAGGAGCAAACTACCAGGAGATTCACTAACACATTTCTCCATGCCACTTCCATCCCCCAACCCCCCCCCCTCCTGAGACCCCACAAAATCCCCTTCCTCATTCTCTGAAGCATCAGATTCTTCACAAACCACAACAGTTTTTCCACTTTCATGGGGGTCTTGCACCCCTAACCCCAGAACATGGAGGGCTGACTGTATCGCCTATAAACTCTGATGTAAGTTTCACTGAATTCAGTGAGGCTTGTGCTTAAATAAGGGAATACAAATTCTTAATCTTTGGATTGTGTTTATGAACTAAACATTAAATGAAGAAAAGTGAATGAAAGGGATGTGCATAATTTAATGAGCTTCTGTGCATGCCTTGGGGAATACAGTCGTGCTTCTTGATTTGTTTGGACTTACAGTCATGTGGAAAGAAGACCCAAGGGAGAGCAGAGGTGAATCTGGAGAGTGTGGTAGGATGGCAATGTTGAGCAGGTGGGTGTCCAGATGGGCTTCTGGAGAGGATGTGCTTGATACCTGTAAATATAGCATCACACAAATGCAGCCAAGGCAATGAATGTTTTATACCATTACAAGAGATAGACAGGTGCACCTGTTTTCCCAAGTTTCCCCATGCAAGTTGCGGTTGCTGAAGCAAATGATGCTAATCTAGTACATCTGTAAAACCTGCCATTTCAAAATATCCACAGGATATTTTCCAATAGGCAAAACATTATAGGTAGGAAACATATGAATAAACCAACTGGTAGCTTCCTCTTGACAAATGCACAGTCATGGCATTTTATCTACAGCTGTACAGCCATTGCTTGCCAAGGACAACCTTGATTCTCATCTGTTCCAGAGATTGCTACATAATGCGCAATGGTAATTCAAATATATTGAAGACTCCAATGGGATGTAAATCTCTGCTTATTTCCCTATCACATAGGAAAATTAAAAACTTACAAAGTTTCCTCGCTGGACATTTTTCAATTGATTAATTCATTAAATTTTGAGGCATCTTTGTGAAAACATAGTAATTTTATGGGACAAACTGATATTTGGTGCAAAATATGTAATAAACTTTTCTTTTATACAAAAAAAATTCAAAATATGAATTCTGAAAACAACTTTTTTTGCACAAAATGTGGTTTTTGCACAGGACCCCCTCTTTTTGTTGCTTATTCTACTGCCGACAATAAACCCATATTGGTCCTTTTGCTATCACACAGGGTTAAAAAATATTAAGACAGTTCTCAGTGTTTTCCAAAAAATGTCTCAAAATATCAACAGCCCTTCTCACAGAAGAAAACTTGTGAACATTCTGTATACTGCATGTCTAATGTTGCATAAAACAATGGGGAGCCGTCTTCAGCTTTGCAGAATATTAAGCATGCATTGCCTCTTTTGTTGACTACCTTCACCAGATTGTCCTTTTTGTTGACTCTCCCATGGTAACAGCCATTGCATCTGGTTGCAGAACAGACAAGAATAAGAAGCTGGGCAACTGCACTGTCTCAGGAGAAAACCCACTCCTTTCTGCTCCTTTTCTGATTTCTATTCCAGCAGTTCACATTAAGTATTGTGGAGAAGAGCAAACCACAGACCACCTATTACAATGCGGTCTGAGCCCTGCCACATGCACAATGGAAGACCACCTTATTGCAACACCAGAGGCACTCCAAGTGGCCAGCTACTGGTAAAGGGATATTTAGTATAATGCCAAGTTTTTTAAACTCTGCACTTTTCAAAAAATACATTACAACTGTGCCCTTGGTTTGCTTCAGATATGATAAATAAAAATAAAATTAAGTATTTCCCAAGAACGAGTATCTGGGTTAAATTTCCCCCTTCCTTTTAGACAATAACCCTGAGAGCAGGGATGGTAAGGTGTTCAAGGAGCTCTTCTTGGCCAAGGAGGACAAAAGCTTTATCCACATTGCAGAATTCATGAGCGATCACTCATGGTTGAGCATGATTATGGGGAGGTGGGTTTGTAAATTACTGTAAGGATCTATTTGAAATCTGCTTGGTTTTACACATTGAGGACATAGGTTTCCAGGTGGAAGGTGGTTACGACAAGGAATTACTTGATGTGCCTTCCTCTTGGCACGTTTCTTCCTTTTGCCCTCTATTTGTATCTCTTAAAAATCCATACCACTGTGGGTAACGGCTCCACATTAACTACCATGGCTTAATGGTAAGGAATACTGTGATTTATACAGGTTGACTTATCCAAAATCCTAAATACTCCAAAACCCAAGACCATCTACATATGTGGCTGAGATAGTGACATCTTTACTTTCTGATGACTGAGCTTTGTTTCACACACAAAATTATCAAAACTATTGTGTATAAAATTACCTTCAGCCTGCATGTCTAAACCTCTAAGGCAGTGGTTCTCAACCTGTGGGTCCCCAGATGTTTTGGCCTTCAACTCCCAGAAATCCCAGCAACTGGTAAGTTGGCTGGGATTTCCGGGAGTTGTAGGCCAAAAAACTTGGGGACCCACATGTTGGGAACCACAGCTCCAAGGTATACATAACTGAATTTGGTGTTTAGACTTGGTTGTCATATTTATTTATTTACTTTATTTATATACCGCTTTTCTCAGCCCTCAGTTATCCCATTAAGTACCTATATGCAAGTGAAGATTTTCCAAAATCTCCCCCACCCCCAAAAAATCAAAGTCCAAAACACTTCTGGTCCCAAGCATTTCAGATAAGGCACATTTGACTTGTAGTTTTGAGAGATATTTACCATTTCTGTCAGAGAGATCTGGTGCCACAACAAACTATGGATCCCAGGATTCCATAGGATGGAACCCATGGTATCAAAGGTATCAAAGTATGAAACATAATAATTCCACAATGTGGATTGTTTCAAAGATGTGGAAATAAATAAATAATGAGCATTATTAGCCTATCATTTCCAATACACAGTAAAACATTTTGCTTTCATATGACAACAAATCATTAATGTGACTGGAATTGTATTTCTTTACTGAAAAAGAAGCAGGGGTTTTGACCTTGGATTCACAGTCAAGACTAACTGGATTATGGGTTATGTTCAATGGTGTTTGTTTCCTAGCAGATTTGTCTAAGATTAAATTATTTCCCTATGTGTGGGCATGTGGGTGTTAACTAGGTAGAAAAAAAAACATTTTAAAATATAACTATTTCTATTATGAAGTGTTAAAATAAAGTTTCTCTCCTCATAACCTTTTCTGCCTCCATTATATCACCATGATTAATAACACTTGAGCAACAAATCATACTAAAGTGCTAATTCATTTGCACTGGTCCTGCCTGAATTTATTTATTTTTTATCATTTATGGTCGCACATGCAAAATGTAAGTTAAATTGTTTTCATCTAAGCATATATGTTGGTATGATCACACACACACACACACACTGTACATACACACACATTCAAACACAGACACAGTAGCAGTTTGTTATTATTGATCCCTATTCTACATTTCTGAATATATATATTCTGTTAATGGGGCTACTGTTTTCACTTTTGTTTCACACATACTATTATCAACACTACCTTGTGAAATTGGCCCTGATCAAAACAGAAATTTTTTTAATCTGTCTGGTGACAAGATTTCATCTCAAACCAATTTTGAATGTTTTTTATTCCCAATTATTTTTTTTACCTTAATTATATCTGAATATGATGTTTGCTTTGTTTTTGTGTTGGTGTGCAAAATCTGGTTAGCTAATGCAAAATAATCCTGAACTATTCAAAACCACCTTGCTGCACAGGTGGCATATAATTAAAACATGATTACAATTCAGTTTTCTAATTCTCAATTAATGGATTGACAGATTAATGGCGTTTTAGCTTCGAGGCAGAGCACCTTCTGGGAGGACACTGGGAGGCCCTTCTGTAAGTTTGAATAAAAATAGAGGCAGACATCAGACAACAAAGCCTCTGACAAGGAACCTACGATTTTACAAGGCTTTTAATATCCATTCCTCTTTTTGTGCCTTATTCTTTGTATAGTTGGGGGGTTTTTTTTGCCTCCAGAATTTACATGAGGACAGTTGTGAAGTGGGCAGGAGAAACAAACTTTTAATGCCAAGTTGTCACAGCTGGTTCCATAATCAATGCAATAAAACTAGAAGTTGGCTGTAACTAATCAGCCCAAACTAACCAAGAGGTCACTCTGGATTGTTGTAGGTTTTTCAAGCTGTCTGGCCATATTCCAGAACAGTGTTTCTCAACCTGGGGGTCGGGACCCCTGGGGGGGGGTCACAAGGGGGTTTCAGAGGGGTCGCCAAAGACCATCAGAAAACACAGTGTTTTCTGTCAGTCATGGGGATTCTGTGTGGGAATTTTGGCCCAATTCTATCACTGGTGAGGTTCAGAATGCCCTTTGATTGTAGGTGAACTATAAATCCCAACAATGACAATTCCCAAATGTCAAGGTCTATTTTCCCTAAACTCCACCAATGTTCCCATTTGGGCATATGGAGTATTTGTGCCAAGTTTGGTCCAGATCCTTCATTGTTTGAGTCCACAGTGCTCTTTGGATGTAGGTGAACTACAACTCCAAAACTCAAGGTCAGTGCCCGCCAAACTCTCCCAGTATTTTCTGTTGGTCATGGGAGTTCTGTGGGCCACATTTGGTTCAATTCCATCGTTGGTGGAGTTCAGAATGCTCTTTGATTGTAGGTTAACTATAAATCCCAGCAACTACAACTCCCACATCAACCCCCCCAACCCCACCAGTATTCAAATTTGGGCATATTGGTGCTAAATTTGGTCTAGTGAATGAAATTATACCCTGCAGATCAGATATTTACATTACGATTCATAACAGTAGCAAAATTACAGTTATGAAGTAGCAACAAGAATAATTTTATGGTTGGGGGGTCACCACAACATGAGGAACTGTATTAAGGGGTCGCGGCATGAGGAAGGTTGAGAACTACTGTTCCAGAAGCATTCTCTGCTAAAGTTTTGCCTGCATCTATGGCAGGCATCCTCAGAGGTTGTGATGTGAGCATGCCTGCCATAGATTCAGGCAAAACATCACGAGGGAATACTTCTGGAACGTGGCCATACAGCCTAAAAACATACAACATCCCAGTGATTTCAGCCGTGAAAGCCTTCAACGGTACATGGTCACTCTGGATATAAATAATATCCTGGGACATTTGGTCCTTATCATGGAGTATACTGTGTTAATGCTGTCCAGCCAAGTGCTAAGGACATTTGGGGAATAATCTGAAGTTTGGATGAAATTCCAGAGCGGTTTGGTCATAGGGTGGACAGTATGACTGGATCCAGTGCAGATTAGTCCACTGTCCACACAGGCTACCACTGCTATCCCCTTTCACCTGCAAACAGAGAAAAGTGGGCAAATGGGGCCCATGTCATTGTTGGCACTGCAAAGCTCCAAAACAGATCCTGGCCAATGTGGGAAACTCAAACTGGTAATAATCACAGAGTCGCCTCAGAGGAGCTAGCCAATATCTAAAGGGAATAGCTATAAACACTAGAAACACTAGAAATTTCCTAG